TCTCAACACAGGGTTGTAGATTCTTTACCAAGCCTTAGCAGAAGTAAATAACAAAAAAAAAGCCCTATGATATGCAGTACACAGCATCATCAACTTAACACAAAATATTGTATTATTTCTTAGGCTGTGTTTTATTTAAAGATATAAATACGCTGTGTTTTTTCATTTTTCCCCCCATAATGAACAACCTATCTTTTTAGACATTTTCAATATTATTGGAAACCTCATACTCTATCGTTTTCTATTCCAAAAAGGAACAGGTGAGAGTTAGAATTGATAGAAAGAATTGGTACTGGACACCTACCTTGGATTTGTTGAGAAAAAAATAACACAATACAATCCATAGAGCAAATCCTCTGAGGCTCTTTACTAACTAGAAACACAGTCATTTTATAGATACTGACTTGTGGAGGACCACGCCTGACTTAAACTAGACCCCTTCACTATGAATGTAGTCTTTCCAAGAAGAATTATTGAGATTAATGAACGGCCAGCACCTTGTCTCGGCAGCCTGGTGACTCTGCAACAAGACTTTTTCTAGTTCCCAACTAATCCATTACTCCAACCAAGTTCTTCATGTTTGTTCTGATCCTCCTAGTTGGAACAAAATATTTATAATTAGAACTCAGGGCACCTGGGTAGCTCAGTTGGTTAAGCATCAGACTCTTGACCTCAGCTCAGGTCTTGGTCTCAGAGTTGTGAGTTCAAGCCCCACGTTGGGCTCTGTATTGGGTGTGGAGCCTACTAAAAAAAGAAAAAAAAAATCACTAGGCATCTGACTTCTTCTGATATATTTTAAATTCCTCCACCTTGAATAAAAAGTTCTCTCAGTGACACCAGTATTTATCAAGATCTACAGCTGGTTCTTGAAAGTCACCTCTCTGTCCTAGCAAGGAAGAAGTTGAAGACTGAAAAATCAGCTCTTGGATCCATAGGAGAAGGGAGAACACAGGGCAAACATCTGCCCCCGAGATTTGAGAGGAGAATACAGGGAGCCTTGGCTTGTTGGAATAGAGACTCAGCAGTGGAAATCACCCACAGGAACCAGTGTCAGCATAGGAAAACCTGAACTAGATATATATAATTGATGAATTGCTGGCAGCTCAGTGGGGACAAGCTTGAGAGTTAAGAACTCCGGGGGGACTCACACAGGGGCCCCCACAATATTGTAAGATCTACCTCCAGGAGCTCAACCAGGTTCTCACAGTAAATATCAGAGAGAAACCCCTTGTGCTTCCTGGAAGAGGAAAGGAAAAAGAATCCTTTAAATATAATGCCAGAGTATCCTATCCTACTTAACAAGGCCCGCTCTCAAGGGAAACTAGTTAACAGAAGCGGCAACTGCTGGAGTATTATCAAAGCCTGACTGACCTGGGAAAGGAAGCTCTGGCCTTTCTGTCCCACCTGAAGGAGGAGAAAAATGCTGAGAAACGCTTGTGAAGTTTACATTCCAGAGGGATAGGCTCACTAAAAGACTGAGACCTAATCATAGGGCTATGGAATGATTTCCCTTTCCTTCCAGCACATTACTGAAGGCCTATTTTATAGCAGTTCCTTATTTATACATTATGTCTCGCTATCAACAAAAAATTACCAAGCATACTAAAAGGAAAAAACACAATTTGAAGAGACAGAGCAAGCATCAGAACCAGAAACAGAAGAGATGTTGAGTTATCAGACCAGGAATTTAAGACAACTATGATTAACATGCTAAGGGCTCTGATGGACAGAGTAGACAGTATGCAAGAACAGATGGGCGATGTGAGCAGGGAGCTGGAAATCCTAAGAAAGAACCAAAAAGAAATGTTACAGATCAAGAAACACAGTGACAGAAAGGAAGAAGGCCTTTAATAGGCTTACTAGTAGACTGGACATGGCTGAGCAAAGAGTCTCTGAGTTTGAAGCAATCTCAACAGAAGTCTCCAAAACTGAAAAGCAAAGAGAACGAAGACTGAGAAAAAACAGACTATCCAAGGCCTGTTGGACAACTACAAAAAGTGTAACATCTGCATAACAGGAACATCAGGAGGAGGAAGAAGAGGGAAAGAAACAGATGAAATATTTGAAATAATTATTTACATATTATGTTTTATATAATTAATATAAATTATATATTAGATAATTATTTCAATTTATTGAACTTCATTAATGGTATTCAAAAACATTAATGGTAATTCAAAAACATTCAAAAATGGTATTCAAAAACAAAAACAATGGTATTCAAAAATTTCCCCCAAATTAATGCCAGACATAAACCACAGATTCACCGAGCAAAATAAATGTCCCAGAATCTGTACCTAAAGGATATCATTTTGAAGCTACAGAAAATCAAAGTTAATGAAAAACTCTTAAAAGAAGCCAGAAGGGGAAAAAAAAAACTTGCTTATAGAGGAAAAAAGATAAGAACTCTGCATTCAACCTCCTCAGAAACCTGGCAAACAAGAAGAGAGTGCAGTGAAATATTTAAAGTGCTGAGATAAAACAAACAAACAAAAAATGACCATCCTAGAATGTTGTGTCCTGCAAAATTATTTTTTAAAAAAGAATGAGGGGTCCCTGGGTGGCTCAGTTGGTTAAGCATCCAACTTGATTTGGGCTCAGGTCATGCATTTTCTCATGGTTCATGAGTTAGAGCCCCGCATCAGGCGTCACGCTGTCAGTGCAGAGCCTGCTTGGGATTCTCTTTCTCTGCCTCTCCCTCTCTCCCTCTCTCTCTGTCCCCCTCCTTCTTGCACGTGTGTGCCCTCTCTTTCTCCCTTTCTCTCAAAATAAATAAACATTTAAAATAAAAAATTTATTTTTCGTAATTGATCTAACAAATAACAATTTGTTCAAAGTAATAGTAGCAACAATGTATTCAGTTTCGTATGCTAAAGTATATTAAACAAATTTTTTAATGTTTACTTATTTTTGAGAGAGAGACAGAGTGCAAGTGGGGGAGGGGCAGAGAGCGAAGGAGACACAGAATCTGAAGCAGGTTCCGGGCTCGAGGCTCCAAGCTGTTAGCACAGAGCCTAATGAGGGGCTGGAACTCACAAACTGTGAGATCATGAGCTGAGCCGAAGTGTGATGCTTAACTGACTGAACCACCCAGGCTCCCCTTCTTATAGATAGATAGATCAATCGATCTTATGTGTATCCGTGCTTATTTATGTTTATATATAAGTGAAATGAATGACAGCAATAATAGAAGGGACTGGAGGGCGGAATTATTTTGTTACTATTTTTTTTATTATAAGGTACTCACACTACCTGGGAAGTGGTATAGTGATATCTGAAAGTAGATCTGGATTAGTTGTAAATGTTTATTGCAAACTCTAGGGCAACCATTAAAAAATGGAAAAAAAAGAATAACTGATAAACTAGAAAAGGAGAGAAAATGAAATCATGTAAAATGCTCAATTAAAACCACAAAAGGCAGGAACAAAGGAACAAAGGCTACAAATCGAAAACATCAACAGATGACAGCTATTAACCCAGCCTTACCAATAATCACTTGGAATGTCAATGATCTGAATGTGTCAATTAAAAGATTATCATAGTGGATCAGGAAGCAAAACCCAGCTATATATTGTCTACAAGAAATCCACTCTAAGTATAAAGACACATACAGATTAAAGGTTAAGACATGGAGAAAAATTTGCCATGCTAACATTAATCAAAAGAAGGCAAGAGTAACTATATTCATTTCAGACGGAGCAGACATCAAATCAAGGAAAGTTATCACAGATTAACAGAGGTGTTACATAATGATAGGGTCGGTTCTCCAAGAAGATACAACCATCCTTAATGTATATGCACCTAGTACAGAGCGTCAAACTTCATGAGGCAAAAACTGTTGGAACTGTAAGGAGAAATAGGTGAATCTACTATCACAGTTGGAGAATATTCTTGTATCAGAAATGGACACAGGCAGAAAATCAGGACATGTTGAATTCAACAACACTATCAATCAACTGTGTATAATTGAAATCTATAGACTGCTTCATCCAGCAACAGCAGAACACACATTCTCAAACTCACATGGAATATTCACCGAGACAGGCCACGTTCTGGGCCATAAAACACACCTTAACCAATTTAAATGAATGGAAGTCATATCATCTGCTCTCAGATCACAGTAGAATTAAACTAGAACAGTTAACGGTAGACAACTAGAAAATCCCCAGATACAAGGAGATTAAACAACACACTTGTCAATAATGCATGGGTCAGAGAAGAAATCTCAAGAGACGTTAAAAGCAAAATTTACATTAAGGCATTCAGGTGGCTCAGTCGGGTAAGAGTCTGACTTCAGCTCAGGTCATGATTTCACGGTTCATGAGTTTGAGCCCCGAGACCGGCTCTGGGCTGACAGCTCAGAGCCTGGAGCCTGCTTTGGATTCTGTATCTCCCTCTCTCTCTACCCCTCCCCTGTGCTCTCTGTCTCTCTCTCTCTCTCTGTCTCTCTCTTAAAAATAACATTAAAAATTTTTTATTTATTTATTTATTATTTTTTTTTTTTGTTAATTTTTTTTTTCAACGTTTATTTATTTTTGGGACAGAGAGAGACAGAGCATGAACGGGGGAGGGGCAGAGAGAGAGGGAGACACAGAATCGGAAACAGGCTCCAGGCTCTGAGCCATCAGCCCAGAGCCCGACGCGGGGCTCGAACTCACGGACCGCGAGATCGTGACCTGGCTGAAGTCGGACGCTTAACCGACTGTGCCACCCAGGCGCCCCCAAAAAAATTTTTTTTAAACAAACAAAACAATTTACATCTACCACCAGCCTAAAATCCAGGTTTGTGCTTGGCCAGAAGTCACTCACTAGGCTGAATGGTTCAAAGGTCACTGAGGCACCTCTTGGACAGTTTCATTTTACCTTGGACAGTTTCATTTTACAGTTTCATTAGTCATCAAGCTAGCCCCTCACGGGTTTTCTCACCTTTGCTTGCCGCAGTCCCTCTAATCTCTGGGAAACTCTTCCTGCTTTACTGATGTCTCCCTGTTTTCTCTAAGGTGGACGTCATGTTTCAGACCTCCAACCATCTATGCTGTCACAGTCATGACGAACAGAAGGCACTGAGACTCCCAGAACCAACTATCAACCATCATCTTCGTTGCGTTTGTGACAGCTGCTCTGAGGTCCTTGTAAATTTGCCCCTTTGACTTCATTCTGATTCTGTGTCCAGAGTTTAATGGGGGGTGGGGGGGAATTTCTCTCAAGCCTCAAACCCTATGTTCATCAGTGAAAGGGATTCCAGGGGCAAACTATCTGAGATAGCTTCCAATATTTTCCATTCTTACTCTTAATCCAAGAAGAGGTTTTATCTGAGCATGATAGAAAGGATTTGGGGCACCTGGGTGGCTTAGTCGGTTAGGTGTCCGGCTTCAGCTCAGGTCATGATCTTGCGGTCCGTGAGTTCGAGCCCCGCGATGGGCTCTGTGCTGACAGCTCAGAGCCTGGAGCCTGCTTCAGATTCTCTGTCTCCCTCTCTCTCTGCCCCTCCCCTGCTCACGCTGTGTGTGTCTCTCTCTCTCAAAAATAAATAAACATTAAAAATATATATATATTAATAGACTTTCTGTTTTGGTTAGTTCAAATCAGTTATTTAATGATTTTGCACTTCCTAATATTTTAAGAAACTGTCCTTTAATATTTGAATGAGTGTCCTAAAGTGTCTTTTTAATTAAAGATTTTATTTTTAAGTAGTCTCCACGCTCATCGTGGGGCTAGAATTTACAATCCTGAGATCAAGAGTTGCACGCTGTACAGACTGAGCCAGTCAGGTGCCCCCTAAAATTTCTTTTGACATTGTTAAAAGTTGTTTTGAAACAACTCCAGAAGAGATTCCAAGTTGGGGGTGGGAGAAAAGACCTAAAGGCAGAATATGTTTTATATTTAGAGTTTCTCTATATCAGATAAGATTATTTTACAGAAAATTCCTTTTTCTTATGCTTACTTTTAAAACTACATGTTACTTGCTGAAATGGGGCCAGTGGAATTAATGAGCTCAAACTTCTTTCTTAAAGGGGGAAGAAAGTGCACTTCCTAGAGAGAGATGACCTTTGCAAAGTGGAGCTATTTGTAAAGACTTCTGTTTCTCCGGGGGATTTTTTTTCTCACTCAGAAGGATCAACCACAAAGTAGGTGGTCCATGCTCTACTGAGCCCTGGGGCTGGCCTTTGCCAAAACTGAATAACTGGCAAAATCAGACTTTGCTGCAACCTCCCACATACCCACACTTGGCCCAGGCAGATACTAAACACCTTGAACCCTAGTCTGACCAATGTCTAGAAACCCGCCTGGCGAATGTCCTGTGCCCTAGACTTTGCTTCCTTCTCCCTCCTCTGTGAATATGTCCTCTCAGGAGGCTATCCCATTGTAAACAGAAAAAATAGGGTCAAATTACAGAATATTGAAAGTCTTGGAAGTTCCAGTTTTAAAAATCCTAAAAGTCATCTAGTAGGGTTATTTTCAAAATTGTTAATTCCCTATATTTTAGCTGTAAAACTCTTTCTTCAAAAAAAAATTTTTTTTAAGTCCAGTATATAAATAACATAATCGAGAACTGCTCTGATCAGAGCCCTTTCCCTTTTCAGAGGGGGAACTTGAAATCTGCAGAGCCTTAGAAAAATATCAATCTAATTCAATTCCTTCAATTCACAAATGACAAACTTGAGCCCAAAATTGAATCAACTTGTCTAACATTATCTAATGAAATGATGACATGGGTCCAGTGCCCCTCAGGGGCATGTCTTTACTGTCACTGAGCCTGACACAGGCCCTCAGAGGCCCATCAATAAATGTTAATTGCATGAACACAACAATTTATGCTATGGTGTTAATGACTGATACCATCTTTATACATTACCCTTCTTAAGGGTGTTTACTTTCATTTAAACAAGATTCAGTTCCTTAGATCAAAGAGAGTAATCTCTTTAGAGCAAATATGAGATCTTATCAATAAGCTTGTTGGTACAGGAGAAAATTGAAGGTAGTACAACAGAACCTCCAGGGAGGGCTATGCTCTCATTTGAAAACCATGAACAGTTTTATAATATGATCGTGAGTATGTTCTGTTGGGAGCAGGGGGGAGAATCAAAAGCAAACCTGTTGATTTTATAAAAGTACATACAATGAGAAAACCTAAGGCACACCTGGGTGGCTCAGTCGGTTGAGTGTCCACCTCTTGATTTCAGCTCAGGTCATGATTCCAGGGTCATGAGATCTAGCCCCTTCACTCTCAGCACAGAGCCTGTTTAAGATTCTCTCTCTCTCTCTCTCTCTCTCTCTCTCTCTCTCTGCCCCTTTTCCCTGTTCTGTCTCTCTGTCTCTCTCTCTCAAATTAAAAAAGAAAAAAAAAAAGGCCTAAACCAAACTACATTGACTGATCTGGTGGGCTGATATGAAAATGAGAAGTATTCAGAGTTGGTCCTACAATTCAGGGAAGGATGTATTTATTAGCTACTTGTGATGCCTCACCCATCAATATAGACTTCTTTGTGGTGCAATATATACTTCTTCTCTGTCATAATGTAAGCAGAATGCTTTCTGTCTTAAGATGAGTATAAATTTTGTTTAAAGTTTGCCTCAATACAGTCCCAGGAAAGGACTTTCAGGCCCTCAAAATGTATTTCTGTTTCTAGTTCTATTTCTTCCAACCCATCAATTGAGAAAGTTGCAAGAAATAAGTGGGAATTATCTAAGTGAATTTGTTTAGATTTCATAATGGGCACCATCAAATGGTGGCAGGTATTATACTATGAGCAAATGTGTCAACGGAAAGTAAATAAAAATTCCATTTATTAGAAATCCTGAAAAACTCAGTCCCTGGATAAAACAACTCTACCACCCATCACCCGTTCCCTTTAACACTCATCAGTTTTACATTATTATGATTATTTGGAGGTAGGGTGATTGGTGATAGCAGGAAGAATAAAAGAAACAAATGTTAATCATGGTTTCTCATTTATTGCAAAAGAAGAGATTCACATTCCCAATGTGTTACAAATCCCCAAACACTCAACAATAACACTATGTGACTGTCATCTTCAGGGGACATATGAGTCAAAATCATTCAAATCTAATTTAAAATGCTACAGACTTGTTTTTTTTTCTGCATGTCACAAGTGTGGGCAACACATGAAACTGAAAAGTATTAAAACATCAAGAATTCACAGGGTGGTGAAAGTTTTCTATCTTGAAGTTAGGAGTAAAAACAAAACAAAACGGAAAACCCCACCACTTTATATTCTGCACTCTTCTAAAATTACACTTGGGGAGAAAATTAAGAAAAAAATTCCAAAATATTTCCTCATCCATTTCCTGCCATCAAATGGCAAACATCACTGTTGCCATCAATCAAGTCATTGCCCTTTCAGCCATTTTGGTGGCTCCACCAAAATGATGTTCCGGTCAACTGTTTGCTCATGTGATCAATGATGTTGTGGAGGGAGAAATTCTATTTTGTTAAATATTGGAGACTATTGGTAAGGCTTATAGTTTCTTTGAATTAGTTCAAATGAGTAAAAATGATTACAGTGCTCTTGGAAGGTGGTCCAAGTCAGAATTCTTGTTGAAAATCAAGGTAACCTGTTGTTACCAAGTATTAACATCCACATTTGACCTAGACAGTTGTAGGCAGACCACAGTCTTGCTCTTAAAACACCAGATTGTCTGCCTTGCTTTGTGAAGATCTGTATGCTTACCACATAGTTCGAGCCGTTTTTGAGTTCTAGATTCATTGAGAAAGATGATTGCCTACATTCAAGACTCGAAAGATTCAGCTGCCCTGGTTTTGAAATACAGAGAAAGGACTAAGAATAAATCTTCAAAATATGTTAGAGTCGGTATGGCATGGGCAAGGACAAGACTGATCCTGGCCACAAATTATAGGCATGGCTGCACTGGAGTGTCCCTACTGAACACCAATCTCCACCCCCTCCAGAAATAATGAGATTACAACATAGGTATCAACATGGAAAGTTGTCCAAGTCATCGCTCAGTGAGAAAAAGAAAAATGTTTAACACTATGGATAGCATGATTCCGTTTATAAATGTTTAAAGGAGACTAAAGAGACTTAGAAAATGCCATGACAGATTCTGATAAACATGTGCAGATCCTTGGGCCGAGAGATCTCATGAAGAGTCTGTTTCCTAAATTCTAGTCTCGACTCTACCATATTACTTAACTCTTTCATAGTTTTGTAAAATCAAGGAGGGAGACTAGAAAATCATTACACCTCTTCCAGTTCTAATCGGTAGGTAAAAGTATCCTTCCTTCATTTCCTTGTGTGAAATAAGGAAGTAAAGCACCTTCTTCCAAGATTATTGTGCGGCTTTAAATGAGTAGGTTTGTGAACCTACTTTGTAAATTTGTGGATATAGTATATTAATAATGATCCGTACCTTAAAAAAGTCTGCACTACAATTTATTAGTTGTTTCTACTAATTCTTTCTAACTTTAGCTCAGTTTGGGATACTACCTGACACACGTTCTTCACCATAAAAGCAAGGAACTTTATGTCTAAGGTAATTTTAGGGGCTGAACCATATCAAATGTCAGCCTTAGGGAATAAAAAAAAAAATTGTTGCAGCAAAGTGGACTGAGTTAAACTTCTGAAAAGTGAATTCTATTTTCCCACTGATGGCCTTAATGAAATCCGAATCCTGTTTCCTAGAAAATATTCCAGTGGATTCATTCGCAGACTTATTTTCCTATTTGAAGAATTATAAAAGCTGGCTGGCTGGCCATTGCAGGGTCTCTGTCAACTAAAATAGTCAATGTTTCTGATTCTATTTTAGGATTCAGTCCAGGAGGTGCCCTCCCACAAACTGCCATGCCAGTGAATGGGCCCCATTCTGTGGTGTCTGAGGAATGTGTATCCTTTCTTGATGTCAATCCAGTAAATCAGAGTTTACTCCAAATTCGTTTTTTGTTTTTTTTTTTTTTTTTTTTTTAATTAAACTAAGTGTCTACTGAGGACAGAAATAGGATTGGTGATAAATGTCACTGAGAAAACAATTCAATGCGAAGAACTTCCTAACAATCAGAGCTGTTCAAGTTAAAAAAAAAAAAAATAGCCTGCCATTTGGAGGAATTGAGGTCCCTGTGAAGAGAGACAGTCAAGAGAAGGCTCTCACAGCTTATTGGGGTGACTAATATGACTAATTATGTCAACTTTTATCTCCTTCAATGCACTGTAGTAATGCTGAGGCCAGGTTTTTTGTTTTGCTTTACTTTGTCTTGTTTTTGGATTTCTGGACACACTGAAGATATTCAATAAATACATTTTTATGAATGAAAGAATAACACAGGGGGACCCTGCATTCATTGAGTGGGACATTAGACAGAGAAAATTTAAGATATCTTAATTGTGAAATTCTTGGAAAAGTTCATTGTCCTGTGGAAAAGCAAATT